GTACACAGAATTTATCACAGTAAGGGTAGAAAACTCTCCTTTAAACTAAACTGTGTTCTTTATACCAAAAGGAATGCCAATTTAAAAGATTTGGTCATTATGCCAACATTTCTAAATAATGGGAACAAACCCAAGGAGAAAACCAGGTGAATTTTAAACAAAAATTTGGCTTCTTCCCTAATTATTTTTTAAAGCACAGAATAAGTTAGACTATGACACAAATAAATCTAAAAGTTAACATTAAAGATTAAAACACACTCATGTGTTAGTTTCAAACTTTTTTCCATATGCTATGACTTGACACTGCTTCCGTCCTCCACTCCTTTCTCCCCACCAAGTATCAGATCTCCAAATAATGTTGAATCTTTCTCTGCAATTTTTGTCACTTTTATTATTTCCATTTCCACTGTCAGATTCTTATTGTCACTAGACTAGATAATTTTAATAGTCACACAACTGATCTCTATCTGATTAGCTCTTTCCTGGCCCTCAGAATCTTCCTAAATCTTAGTAACAAAAAACAAACTTCAATGGCTTCAATGGCTCCCATCAGAATAAAGTCCAAAGCTGCTTACTCTAGTATTCAAAACTTCCTCACTGCCAGGTCCCAACATAACTGCTCTCCCACTAGTCTTCTAAACATTTCAGAAAAATGAACTTACTAATTCAATCCAGAACACGTCTTAAGTTTTCCTGCCTTTACTCTTTTGTAACTGCTTGCTCCTCTGATTTGGAATTATGCCTTCTTCTTCTCTCCACTGATCTAAACATTATCTCTCTTTTAAGACAGTTAAAAACCTTTACCCACGACTAAGAGCTATCTATACTGTGAAATAACCTCTACTGCGCCTCTTAAATTCCTACAGCAATTATGGTCCGCACAATTCACCTGACAATTAATTACGTTCTGCCTTCTGACATTTTTTCTAGTGTATTAAACTGTTATTTAGCCTTTTATATCTTAGCATCTCATGTAACTAGGGCAGCTAAGTGGCACAGTGGATAGAGTGCCAGGCCTGAAGTCAGCAAGACTTCTCTTCCTGAGTTCTAATCTGGCCTCAGACACTTACTAGCTGTGTGACCCTGGACAAGTCACTTAACCCTGTTTGCTTCAGGTTCCTCATATGTAAAATGAGCTGGAGAAGGAAGTGACAAACCACTCTAATATCTTTCCCAAGAAAACATGACTGAAAAAAATGACTAAACAACTGAACCTCATCTACCTAAATAAAGTGAAAACTCCCTGAAGGCTCTTTATTATTTCATACACCTATTGTGTACTTTTCATAAATGTAGGCAACAACACATTTTTTCCCAAAGGAATATAAAAGTTTCTACACTAAAGTTAATTATCATCCAGAAGCACTTCCTCAAAACCTCTAATAGATTCTTCTAAATTAGGAACTAAATAAAGGAATGTATCCACTTAGGATATTTAGGACAAGATTATATGCTATGGTATCCTATAATACCAGGAAACACTTTAACTTCATATAGTTCCATAGTAGGGCATGTAAACAGGGTTCAACATAAAACTGTTACTTCACTTAAGAAACCTGAGGAATAAAAAGGCTATACGAAGTTGGCTATCACAAAATCTCTTTGAATATCTTACAGACACCTAAAAGGGAACATGAACACACAGATACACACACACAGACACACAGACACACGCAAGCACTATATACTTACCAGAATAAAGGTAATAAGAAGGTAATAAAAGTTACAAGAATTATTCTTTAATAATAATGTTACTTTCTAAAGTACATTAAATACTACTCAGCCTCCAGAGACCCTAACTTTCTTGTCCTCACAACTTGTGTCAATCCCATGTATAACTTATTCTCTGAGAATAATATTGCAAATCTTAATTAATAATCAATTTGCACTGAAAAAAAAAATTAGGGCTATTATTTTCAAGAATTTCAGGGACTTAAGGGGAGAAATCTATATAAATACTAATATATACTTAAAATTATATACAGCCAAGTAAAAATAACCTTAAAGTATATTAGACTATGACTCCCTAAGAACAAGACCCATGTCTTATTCTTTTCTTTTTATTCATTTGTTTATTTTTGTTTCTTAGTTTTTAGTGGTATCTTACAAGAAGGCACTAAAATCTTTCTTGGATAAATGAATGAATTAGGTTTAGTGAATTAGTTAAGTAGTGAATTGATATGCTTAAAAAATTTCACTTATCTATTAAAGATCTTATTAGAGTGGAAACTTCCTATTATAATACAGACAACATTTTCTGCAATTCTTATCCATGACTGCTCATAATTCCTATACAAGGTTGCTAGCCAACACAAAGGAAGCCTCTCTTATGACTTTCAACATTTTGCACTGATCAGTTCAACATTTGCACTCAGATTATACAACTGATAACCCCCACTTTATTAAAAATCAATTAATTCATCACACTATATACCTTCCTGACTATTTCCATTTTTATATATTTTACTTTATTTTCAAATATTTCATAAATACCTCTACTCAAACCCTATTCTAAAGCTGCATTATGGCATTGATGTGACTGGGAATTCCTGAAAGCAAAGACTTGGACAGAATCTGTACCAAACTAGAAAGACTTCCAGGAGATGCTGGCTTTTATCATCAGCTACTAAGCAATTAATTGCTTTGAGTCATAGCTACAACATGAAAGCTGTCTTAATAAAGGCCCCCCAGAGGGATTGACTGTATTCACACTAATTTTATTTTATTTTATTTTATTTTTTAGTTTTCAGGCAATTGGGGTTAAGTGACTTGCCCAGGGTCACACAGCTAGTAAGTGTCAAGTGTTTGGTCTGAGGCCGGATTTGAACTCAGGTCCTCCTGATTTCAGGGCCGGTGCTCTATCCACTGCGCCAACTAGCTGCCCCCACACTAATTTTAAAAAAGCAAATTTTTACTTTCTGAAATATTTGACAAATTGCCTTGTGTGCCTTGTATATATTAGGTACTTAATAAGCATATGCTAAATTGAATATCTGCTCAATTCAATTCAGCAGAATCAGATTTTGTTTTAAAGTTTGGAAGGTTTAAACAATGATCGAGGAATTATAAGATATACAATGATTGAGAGGGCTTATTTTTAAAAAGTTAAATATTTAAATGGATCTACCAGGTAATAATACTTCAACAATGTTTTAAGAAAAACATTCCAAATGCTTTTCTTTTCAGATTATATAAATATTAGGAAGCTATGTTTTAGCCCAGTTTTTTTTTTTAACATATACAAGAGTAATGTATTAAAAACAAAATGTTCATAGGTATAAAAGTAAGTGATTTTGACTCCACTTCTGCTCACCAAACTACTAACTTTTATCTTCTGGAAGATGTCAAAATGTCTAGCACAATGTTGGCTGACTAAAATAAAAATATTTATCATAGTTGAAGTAGCATTTTAAGTCTTCCACAACTATAAATGCTTGCTGAGAAGCCTAACAATTTCAGCTTTGCCACTTATTACTTGTGTAACTGTGTTACAGCCACCTGTCCTGTTGGGGTCTCATCCATAAAATGAAGGGGTTAGACTAGCTGCCCACCTTTACATCAATAGTCTATGATGAAATCTTCTCTAAAGGCCCTTTCAGCTTGATAATCCTCTGCTCAAACAAATAGTAGAGTACTCTCCTATATGTCAATTTAAATATTCCAGTATATACATTTTTATGACACGGCTACTGACCTCAAGGAGCTTACAACATGGCTGAAGAGACACACACACACACACACACACACACACACACACACACACACACAATTTTGATATCTTAATGCCCTATATTCATTTAGTCAAAGTTCTTCTGTCTGTGTATCAATAGTGTTATTCAGGATCAACTTCTTTAAAACTCATTAAATACCTTATGTATTTATGATACTTTCCTGGAAGTATTTGTGCTGCTAAAATAGGGTGAGTGAATGATATGATGATCCTGCTCTGAAAATAACAACTTCTGGCAACAATGCAACCAAGACTCTTACGGCCTCATAAGAATAGTTAAAGATATGTGAATGGTGTTAGAGTTATTTATTTTGAAAGATTTTTTCCACTGAGCTTTATGGTTCCTATCTAAGCTTTCCAAGTAAAATTTAAAAACCCAAGTAACTTGTTTTGAGACACGTAGAGCCTTATACATGCTATGGGCAAATAAGCTCTCACCTGGGGGGAAGAAACTGACTTTAAAATTTGGAGCGCTAAAAATTCTCTATAGTTGATATGACTGTGTATATTTTGATGACTAGCTGAAAAGTTCATCAGAATTTCAAAAGAGCATTAATAAGAAATTATAGGGGAAAGGACATGATCTGATCATCCCATAGTATAATGATTCAGTTCAGATTTACACATTCCCCTAAGAGCTTACTGCAGGATTTCTCTAAGATTCTTATATTTCTATGATAACAGAAAAATCCAATTATTTTCAGATATTCATATGAATAGGTGTATGGGAAAATTAAACTGAACTGTTCTGCTTATCTGGCCTCAGAAAAAAACAAAGAAAATTCATAATTTTAAATCTATTGCCTGTTGCTAACAGTCTACTGACAGGGGACAAGGGGTGAGACAGCATATTGCCTCTCTAAAATAAAGAAAGGGGTAGAGATGGGAAAGGGAAATGAAAGGAGGTAAAATGTTTGAGTAAGTTTATAATAAACATAAAAACTACTACTTTAAAGATAGACAATATCAAACCCACATAAAGAGGTACTTTTAACTCTAATAACTTAAGCTTAAATCAATTCATAAAAGATTCCTTTTAACTAACACAACTTTTAATAGAAAAAAAATCTATATTATAACTGAATTTTTCCAAAGGCAGGCACTACATATTCCTTTGTAAAAACAGAATTAAAAACTAGCTTATGACAACTGATTTATATTGTTATGAATGAAACATTTATCACATCTAAAGTTTACTATGTATACTCTAGCTATATTTAATTTATCATATTATAAAATTACTTTTAAAGTTTATAAAACAAAAACTTACCCCATCATTCTCTCTATGTGGATTTAGTCTATTATAAACAGCCTCAATAATATTGCGCCTAAAAACATGAAGAAATACCTTTGTGAAAATATTTTAAAATAAGTTAATCAGTAAATTAATAATATAGCTTTAATTTTGCACTATATCCAAAGTGTACTGCCAGCTTTAAAATTAATGCTATCAAGACAGATTTTTTTTTCCACAAAAAAAATTCTAGTTCCTAGAATCTGCTGAATCATCTTGATTTATCCTGCACAACACATTCTTCATTACTTTAGCAATGAAGGGGGCCTATAGCCTGTTCCTGAAAACGCTCCTGCCTCGTAGAGCAGAAAGGTCCATTAGAAATAGCTAGAAGACTATTTAAGAGTTATCTAGGAGAGCAGCTAGGTGCCCCAGTGGGTACAGCACCGGCCCTGGATTCAGAAGGACCTGAGTTCAAATCCAGCCTCAGACACATAATACTTGCTGGCTGTGTGACCCTGGGCAAGTCACTTAACCCCACTGCCTAATCAAAAAGAAGAAGAAGAAGAAGAAGAAGAAGAAGAAAAAGAGTTATCTAGCAAGATAGCCCTTTTCCAGGGGCAGCTAGGTTGCACAGTAGATACAGCACCGGCCCTGAAGTCAGGAAGACCTGAGTTCAAAACTCAGCCTCAGACCAAACACTTGATATTTACTAGCTGTGTGACCCTGGGCAAGTCACTTAACCCCAATTTCCTTTAAAAAAAAAAATAGTCCTTTTCCAAGTTTTACCTAGTAGTCCTTTAAGGAAAGTAGGTAAAATAGTAAAAACAATTGAGCTTTTGTATAATGCTTTAAAGCTTGCAAAGCTCTTTAAATTGATCTAATTTAATGGAAGCCCTGGATGAGCCCCTACTAGGTTTGGAGAATCAAGGTGTTTAAGCTACTTGGCACAGGGGTGGGACTACTGAACATGGGAAGAAGGAAAGGCTCAGGCACCAAGTCCCCTTCTCACTAAGCACTCACTTTCCAACCATGACCAAGTCACTCCATCTCTCTGAGGCTGAGTTTCCTCATCTATCAAATGAAGATAAATAACTGTAACATTTACTTCACTGGGTTATTATGAAAATTAAATGAGATAAATATAAAGTATTTTGTAAACTTTGAAGCATTAAATGAGTAAGTTATCTATCATAAGAATACTTATGTTCTCTTATTCATAGTGAGATTTAATTACTATGCATAGAAAATTCAAAATTGGTTATCTTTCTTCTACTTACTTGCCAGCAAGACCTCCCCCTGGAGGTAAATTAGGGATATTTTCTGCAGACAATATGCGCATGACATGGGCAAGATCAGGCATTCCTTCCTCACCAGACTTCTCCATAATTTCTGCATGAAAATAAATAACACATGAATTAATAAGATGATCATGAGGAAGTAAAAAAACAAAGACAGAAACAAACCCATACACTGGTTCCTTGTTATGTCAAAAGTATTCATTTTTAAAAAGAGCAGAAAATAAAGTCTTGTTGTAAATGTTTAACATACTTTGAAATTTCACCTTTGCTTGTATATAAGAAATGGTTTTTCTTGAACATTGCAATTTGTTTCAAGTTATAATCACAAATTACTAAAATTTAAAAGGTTCAAAATTTATTTATAAAATTACAAAGCTAGTTGATATCTGATCCCCAAGAACTGGATATTACCAAGGGTTAGTCCAGTTGGGTAAGATATTTAGATATTGTCTGTATCTTCTAACAAAACACCTAGGAAAACTAGAGAACTTAACTTCAAACTGTACTGTTGAGTCCCTTCAGAATATTCCTTTTAAAATTTGGTTATGGAAAAAATGCTCCTAAAGAACAGAGCTACATAATATATATCTTAAATATATATTATATTAATGACTATGAACAACAAAAAAGAACTATATAGATACAAAACTCTAATAAATGTTTACATAATAAATTAAATTAAATAAATGTTTGGAGTTATAATATACATTGTATAAATTTAAAAATAGCCACTTACCTTAAAAGTAACTACTAACTAGGCATTTTCATGGGTGAAGAAAAGCATATTTTGAAGAACCACATGTCACTAGAAATGTAAGCTACTTTCATAACTAAATCTTTGTAAATAGTTTAATTTAGCTATAGTAATACTTTTTGTGTATCTATGTAATATTTTAAACTTTTTTTCCCCAAAGTGCTTTCACAGATAGTATCTTATTCATCTCACCAATTTTATTCTTACACCAGCTAAGTATACTTCTTGTATTAAAAACTGGAAATTAAAATAGAGAACTAGATAAATAAGATATGATCAACAGTTTAAATAGTGCAAAGGGGTGGAAAGGACTGGTAGAGTATCTAACGACATAGGAACATGTCACAGAAGAAGTAAGAACTCAAGTTGAATAAGAGGTCAGATGGGGTAGGTACTACTCGGCAGGGAGAATGGGGAGCATACATTAAAAGAAACTTTGGTGGCTTTTAGTGGGGAGGAAAACATGGATTTTGAGGAAATATTTAAAAACAGGTGAAAATGTACAGAAAGCCTTTATAAACAAAACTGTCTGCCCTAATCCTACTCCTGCAGTTAGTACCAACTTTGTACATTTTAATACACAGGTTTCCAAAAGGTGGTTACCAACCTCTTAAAAGGTATGTGCTAATAACAAAGTCAGCATAAACATCATACGACCATCAGTATGAAGGTAAATTCTAAACTAAAATTTTCCATTGTATCCTGTTTGGCAATCTAACCTGAATAAAAATATGACAGCTAATAACAAAACTCTTAAAAGAGTTTAAGCTAGTAGAATTTCAGTGATGAAAACAAAGTACATAATAGTTACTAATGATGAATTAGGACAAGTGTCATTATAATCATTCAGTATTACCAGCAATGTAGACTTTGAACTGTTACTATTTTGAAATAATATACCCCCACTTTTTGCCATTTAGAAAATAATTTTAAAAGAAGCATATACTTTTTTCTTTTTCTATGGGACCCTCAAGTACCTTAGGCCCAAATACTGACAAGGCAAAAAAGGGTTTCTTTAAAAATCTCTACTTGTATAAATTCCATCCCAATCCCAACCCCAACCTCTTTGTTTTAAAAGCAGAGGCAGTTTCCCCCCTCTTTTCTTCTTAAATAAACCAGAGTAGCTTTCTTACCTTCAACCCGTGATTCCAAGTGCTTATCCAAGTCTGAATCTTTTTTCACTGCTTCATCTGAGACCTTAGGAGCATTTGAAAAACAAACTAGCACAATACTCATGTTATCTCGACTTCCCTGTATATTAAAAAAGGAGAAGATTAGATAAGATTTTGCTTACCAGCTTCTAATCATTCCCTTTAAAGTATCTAAAATGGAATTATACAAATACGTAAGTATCCTGGAAGAAAATACAGCTTTATACTGGATTAACGACAATCTGAGAATGACCTGAAAGAGCTATGGTTTCCAGATATCCATACAGACCCTTAAGTAGCTATTCATTTGATTTTTACACAAGCTAGCTCAAAACCTAGGTGGCACCATCCTTGACTCCTTACTCAGTCTCATCTTCCATATCTGATCTCTTGCCAAGGCCTACGGATTTTACCTTTTACACCCTCTTCTCCTCTGACACTGCCACCACCTTCCATCCCCTCAATACCTGGACTATGCCGATAGCCAGCTAGTTGGTCTGCCTGTCACAAGACTTCATCTATCACAGTGCATTTTCCATTTAGTTGCCAAAGGTAGTCTTCCTAAAACACAAGTCTGCCCATGTCACACACCACTCACTCCTCAGTCATCATCCCCTCTCCACCCCCAATCTTGCACTCCATAAATTCCAATGGCTCCCTATCACCTTTAGGATCAAATATAAAACCTGTTTGGAATTCCAAATTCTTCAGAACTTGCCCACCACCTCCTTTTCCAGTCTTCTTACACCTCACACCTCCAAACATACTTTCTGATTAACCTCCTTGCTGTTCCTTGAACAAGATACACCATCTCCCAACTCAGCATTTTTCACCCATACCTGGAATACTCTCCCTCTGCATGTCTGCCTTTGGGCTTCCTTCAAGTCCCAGCTAAAATTTCACATTCTAAAGGAAACCTTTTCCATTGCCCCTTGATTCTTTTATTTCCAGTTTATTCTTTATATAGTGTGTTTGTACATATTTGTTTGCATGTTGTATCCTCTTGATCAGACTATGAAGTGCTTGTCAGCAAGGGCTGTCTTTTGCCTTTCTTTGTATTCTCAAGCTTAGCTCAATGCCTGGCATATAATAGAAGCTTAATAAATTGTTTATTGATGATCCTTTCCTTATTCCTGTCTCCTTAGTGGTTGCTGTTAATTATACTCCAATTAGTTACATCTGTTCCGCCTGTCTAGGCCCTTTACCCTTTTCTAAAAGCTGAATTCACTGAAAAAAAAAAGGGGGTTTTGTTTGTGTGTTTGTTTGTTTTTAGCCTAACTGGTAGATCATATCCAAATAGTGCTCATCACAATTACACTGTATTGAAGAAGGAATAAATAAATACCAGGAAAATCAAGAAGGTGAACCAGGGACAGCTAGGTGGCTCAGTGCACTGGCCCTGGAGTGAGGAGGACCTGAGTTCAAATTCAGCCTCAGACACATAACACTCACTAGACATGTGACCCTGGGCAAGTCACTTAACCCCATTGCCCAGACCTCCCCCCCCAAAAAAAGACGATGAACCAAAGCAGGGATGCAAAAAGGGCAGAACAATTTAAGGATTCTAAAACACACTAACCAGATAACATGACTGTGGAGAATCAAAATTATAGCCAAATAACGAGCATTCAGATAAATGGAGTTAAAATTTTTTTTGAGGATCGACTTTAAGCTCACTGTTGAGAGTATTTTAGCACAATGAGGTTTTTCAGATGGTTAAAATACTAATTAATGAATTCAATGTGGAAAGAACAGCCAGTCCTACATAAGTCTTACCAATATATAGCATTCACCTACAAGATTGAAAGCAACATGCTTAAAACATCTGTCTGCTAATTCTAAGGGAAAATACTTAAATTAAATCTTTTTAAAATCATATGGTTGTTTTTCCAACTGTACTTTCCAATATATTTTATGCCTGAGAAGGTTGTCAGTACTGAGAATGCCACAAAGGGCACCAAAAAGGAGGCAGGTATGAGTTATTCAGGGAGTCCACCCAACTAAAAATCAGGACAATAGTCAAAACCCATTCTACAATAGCTCAAGTTCTGCAAAGGAAGGGTAAGGTATGAGGGGCACCCACTACTTCCCCAGATCTGTCCAGCTCCAATGCCATTTTAAACTGCTGTGGTTTGAGAAGGCTATCTGTTTTCCCCTCATCTAACAAAGAGTCAGAAGTAACAAGGAGATCCTCACAGAAATCAGAGGGTCAGGAGCTTTGAAAGTGCTGGTCTCAAAAGTTCCAGAAGAGATATGTATGGTCTAACCAATTCAATTCCCTGGGCTCTGGGAATTGTTGTTGCTGTTATTGTTTGGGGGAGAGGGAGATAAGAAGAGGATGTGAGAGGTATGTGCAGAGCCACATCCGCAGTGCCTAATTAGTGCCTCCAAATGAATGACACCTACCTATTTCATTCCAATATGGAACCCATAATTCTTGAAACATTTTCCCAATTATATTATTCATAAAATAAATAAGAACTTTTGCAAAACAAACAGTTTTTCAATCATACCACAAAATCAATAATCTCTAGGGAACTATGCCTGAAGTATATTCCATTTGACAATTTAGAGCCTTTCTGGAATCTGAACTAAAAAGAATTTTATTCTTATAACATTATTGTATAACTCATGGTATCAAAGGGTTACCCAAACTCTTTTAACTACTCAGCTTCCATACTCAGAATTTTGCCACCTATTATTTCATATATATACACACACTAAGAATTTAAAAGCCAAATATCCATAGAATCTTATTTCTAACATTATAGCAAGCTTAAAGTATTTAATTAAATATTAGGCAGCACAAAAAAAAAAAAAAAAAATGGGGCACCTAGGTGGAGCAATGGATAGAGCACCTGCCCTGGAGTCAGGAGGACCTGAGTTCAAATCCAACCTCAGACACATCACACTGACTAGCTGTGTGACCCTGGGCAAGTCACTTAACCCCACTGCCTAGCCAAATAAATAAATAAAGGAAGGAAGGAAGGAATATTAGGGAGTGGTTAAAATAGACAAAAGATATTTGCAGAACAGAAACTAAATATCTAGTCTATGTTTATTTTAGGCACTCAAAAGTTCAGGTCTCAGAAGATTGTAATGTTCTAACAGTGATGAGTTCCTGAGTAATTCTGGAAAGAGCTTTCTTGTATCTGAGAGGTAAATAGTAACACCCAAATTAGAGGTTTCAACCATCTATTTTACTTATATCTATTTATCAGCTAGACTTAAGCAAGATTTACAGGACTAATACTATACAAATTCATATTCCTCAAGTGTTTGACACATATTCAAAAGCTTCTATAAATAAAAAGAGAATATTGCAAGGTGTGAAGAACAAAGTAGTATCTTCTTTTAATCTTCCAGGTACTATAGTGGAGGTAAGGGTGAAGAGTGCAGTGGTGGGGATCTTTGTTTAAGGAAGAAGACTGATGACAAATTGTAAGATTCTATCAAATCCCAGTTTTAGCTCTAGCCCACTCACAATTTGCTGACTGGAAAACAGATCAGACCTCTGAGTCAAACAAATTCAAAGGGAAGAAGAGATCAACCTTCTTGTATGTAGATGGGAAATGGGATACAAGAGATTTCCTGATCTTAGTTTCTTCAAGTATTTCTTTATGAGGAAAGTTGAACTAATCTGACAAGGTTCCCTAAATTTGATTCCAGTGAAATAGGCTTTTATCGTCTGAAATTTTTTTACTCTCATTTTTTTTTTTAAAAAGCTGGTTTTAGAAACAGAGCTAACTTCAGGGATCTCAGTTTAATAAAGAATCTTTTCATTGTCCCCAAATTCAGTCAGTCCTTTAAGCAGTCATCTGCTGCTTCACCACCTACCCACTCCTCAACCTTTTGCAACTATATCATTTACTATATCATTTTACTAACCATCTTCTATTCAAAAACACCAACAACCTCTTTATCACCAAATCCAAAGGCTGGTTTTTTGTTCTCCATTCCCCTTCACTATAGTAAGACAGGATGAATAACTGTTAAGGGCGCTGGACTGGTGATTGTTTAATCCAGAGAAAATTTAAGAGGGAAAATTTGGTTATAGGGATCTTGAACAATACAAAAGGCTGTCTTATATAAAATAATAAATTTTGTTTGGCCCTACACAGAGGGCAGAACTAGGAACATAAAGTTGAAGATATAGGGGAGCAAATTTCTAGGCAATTTAACTGGCCAGAAAAAAAAAAAGCCAACTTCCTAACAGTTAAGAGCTATCTCTAAGTGCAATCAGCTCTCTTGGCAGGTTCTCCATCAACAGAAATCGAGCAAAAACTCAATGGCTTCTTGTCCGGGATGGGGGGGATAGACGAGATTCCTGGAATCCCTTGGAAGGGATTACATTATGGGGAAGAAACAAAGTATAGAGGGAAGAGTTCTTGAAATTGGAGAAGCTAGTGTTAATATCCTGGCTCGGGCATTTGTTACTGTAGATCTGGGCCTGAATGTTCTCATCTGAAGGGAAAAAAAAAAAAGAAAAAGAAAAAAAATAATTGGATTTGATGATCGCTGAGGTTTCTTCCAGCTTTTGCATACTATGATCTCTGCAATCCCTGCCATTTCAGACTCTGTGATTACAAACATAAACAGATTTAGATCTAGAAAGGACCTCAGACAACAGTATTTTGCAGGTGAGGCTGAGGTGAAGTGACTTGTACAAGGTCACAAAGATGGTAAGTGGCAAATGCAGGTCATTGTGATTTTTTATCATCAATCAAGTGTGATGTTCTAACCTTGGTTTATCAAGTTCCTTTTTGTAATGAAGTATAGCTATAAAATCTACAAGGTTTTCAAATAAAAAATTTTAAATCAAAATTTGTAAAGTATCCCCCAAATCCATTCTGAGAATAAGAGAGACAAGCTTTAGAGCAACTAGTGATGATTAATTACTACAGAAAGATAAAAAATGGTTGACTTAAATACCTAAATTTCTGACTGTTTATTCATCTACCAAAAACAAACAAAAAACATTAGGATAACATAACCTAGACAGGCAGGGCTGACTATAACAAAGGGGACAAATATTCTATATGGAGCTAGAGCCTCTCTACCTCTTGATTTATTATGTCCCATCCACCCATCCTACATAGG